GCAGTTTCTCCAGACATCTGTCTCCTCTCTCTGCCCCACGAGGAGGCCACCTTTGAGAGCAGTGGGCTTGGGCATAGCAGCCTTTTCATCGTCTGTTTCAAAAGAAGGTTCTTTTTATCAGTGCACCTAGCCTGTATGCCCTTCCTGTCCCCTTGTCTTCATCCCGCTCTCCCCCATGCTCCTGCGAGGTTGGAGACCACTTTATTCTGAGCCCGGTTTTACTTTCTGTTGCTCTTCTTCCCATCCTTACTCTAGAGTGCCAATCCTCGCTCGTAAACCTTCCAATTTCATTATCTGGTGGTGAAGCAGCCAGGTTGGGAGTCAGCCCCTATTGCCAAATGAATTGGGGAAAAGCGTAATGGGGATGATTAAAATATAAATCAATTAGAGTAATCCAGTCTGCTCAATAATCTGTACTTAAGAGCTAAACAACTTGAATTTAATAATGTACTTATTAAAGATCCATTTAACTATGGAGTTATAATTATGCCTTTATAATGCTCTGTCAGCTTCCTGCCACTCTAGGTTTTTTCTAAGACACTCCTAATTTCTTCTAATTATTTTAATGCGGTAATTTTGGAATGGTTTTATTCATTTTTTTAAGATGTGATCATGAAACAGCTTTTTGGTCCTGGTGGTGCATTTTTCTTAAGGTAGCTAGTGATACTGATTTTATACTTCTCAAGAGGTGTATGAATGAACTGAATCAGATGTCCTCATTCATTCGCTTCTTAAACAAACTATTATTGGATGCCAACTGTGAGAGCAAACCCCAGTACCAATCCTGAATAACTCATATCTTGATTTTTTTTTTTTTGAGGGATTCAGCATATAATCTCTTTATCAAACCTTTAATAGAAGATGTTTCAGGTTGGCTCAACTTAGGTCTCAAACTGGATACTTTTAAAAATTTTATCTTTTGCGTCTTAAGACTAGAGACTCAAAAGAAAGATGGAAATTCTCCCAACCACATGCAGATAGATACCCAGATATACCTGAACTTGTGCATGTATTTTCAGTGGTATGATGGCCCCCCAAAGCCTGTTGGGATCCGTAGGTCCCAGGATGGGACTGTTGCTGAGCAAGTCTTCCATTTTGGCTGCAGTGTGTGTTTAGAGAGGCACTAGCAGATAATTCTGGGCCGGCCACTCGGTTGGAGGTTCCTGGGGCCAAGATGGGAAGCCACTGAAAGCTACTGGGGAAGCCGGCTTTCTATCTCAAAATAGTATAAAATACAGGATTGAAGGCCAGAGACTGGGGTTTGAAATGGAGGTTTGGGGACTTGCAAAATCTGGACAAGCAACACTCAGGTTATAAATGGAGGTAAGAAATGGGAATCAGGTAATGAGTGTGAAAGAGAAAGCGATCTTGTGAAAATCAGATCACTAGACCGTCTTGACTTCCTTCCTGGACTCCAAACCCCCTTGGTTTTCCCATAGTTCTCACATCTGTCACGCCCCCCGTGGCAACTCAGCTACTGGGCATCATTGAAGAAGCACCTACTCAAAGCAACAGATACCATTTTTTTTTTTTAAGATTTTATTTATTTGAGAGAGAGGGAGAGAGAGAGCACGAGCTGGGAGAGAGGGAGAGGGAGAAGCAGGCTCTGCTCTGAGCAGGGACCCCGATGCGGGTTTCGATCCCAGGACCCTGGGATCATGACCCGATCTGAAGGCAGACACTTAACCGACTGGGCCACCCAGGCGCTCCATGGATACCATTTAAAGAGAATAACTTCCAAATTCAGCATGGTTCCAGAGGCTGTTCGCTTGTTCCGTTCAGGTTCTTCTCCTTCCTCACTGGAGCTGGTTTTCTTCCCTTTTCTCCTCAGCCCCTCTGCAGCCCAAATTTACTCAAAGTGTCCTCAATGTGTACCTTCCTCCCATCAGCCCCCGGTCCCCCGCTGCTGCTGGATTACTCTCCCTGAGGCGGCCCCCATCTGATGTGTGATCCTTGTGATGGTGACCTCCATCCAGACTTTGGGAATGAAGTCTTCCAGTAACCATAGTTCAGAATAGAGTCTTCCGGTGACTAACGCCTACATATTTACTTTTGATCCCACCTCCTCCTCTCCTCCCTGAAGACTCAGCCTCCCCTCCCCCTCCCCTGGCAGCTGAGCCCACCGTCCACATCCAGTCTCTCCTCCCGCATCCGGGCAGATTTCCCTTCAGTTGTTCCCTCCATCACCCTAAGACGTGAAATCCAAACTTCCAAAGATACTTTGCAGAAAAACTGCACTATTTGGCATGGAGCCACCTCCCATCCTCTTCTGCTGCTTCCTTTTCTAATCAAAGTCTTTTTTGAAAAAATATAAAGTTTTGGGGCATCTGGGTGGCTCAGTGGGTTAAGTGTCCGACTCTTGATCTCAGCTCAGGTCTTGATCTTGGGATTTTGAGTTCAAGCCCCATGTAGGGCTCTACATGGGGCATGGAACCTACTTAAAATAAAAAGTCTTCACTGTCTCCCCAGTCCTGAAACACAAAAACTTCAGCCATCCCCACTTCCTTGTCCTCCCTCATGTTGATCTGGAAAGTTGCCAAGAGCCTGTGATTCTGCCACCTGGCTGGATCTCGGCGTTTCTCAGGTCCCTTCTAGCATGCCCTACCTGCATCCCAGTCCCTTCCCCTAAAGAGGATTGCAGTGGCCTCCTCATTACTCTCTGCCACCTGTGTCTTCCAGTTCAGGCTCCCATTGCTGTTACACGGCTAGTCCTAGGAATAAATCTAACTGTGCTTTCTCGATCACACTAATTAACATGAAGCCCGTCCCCCACCCAGACACTCGTGATCTCCTTCACTGTGTTCTACTTTTTCTTTCATTTTCCCCCAAAACACAGATCTTTTAACATAGCGTACAGTTGACTTAGTTGTAATGTGCCTTATCCACTCTGCCCCTTGCCCTCCCAGCCGAGGCTCCATGAGTCAGTATTCTTAGCGGTTTTGTTTACTGACATGATTTAAGCATCTGATACATAGTGAGCACTCGGTACATATTTGTTGCATGTCATAATGTCAGTGCCTATGTTCACATTCTTGTCCTTTCCCCTCTGCTTATAGAATAAAACCCAAATGCCTATAGAAACTTTCCAAAGCTTGCATGATGGAGCTCCAGACTCCTCCAGCCCCCGTCCCTCACCGTTGGCTCTCTATCTCATGTAGCTTAAGTGATACTCAAGAGCTAATGGGTTTCTGGACATGCCAAGTTCTTTTCAGCCTTCTCCATTTCATTTGGGTCCGTTCTCCTTCCAGAGGTCTACTTCTCTGTCTTCCCCATGTGGGGGGAACAGTTCCTCCTTTTTCAAAATCTGGCCAGAAAGTCCATCCCCTGTGGGACTCCAGTGCCCTGAAGGAGAATTAGTCTCTTTCTCCTATTTGCTTCCTTTGAATTCTGTGTATTTGCTCCTGGTGTGCAGTGGAGACCCCCGTGTCTCCTCCCCTCGACTCTGTGCTCACTCAAGTCCAGATCTTTTGTGTGTCTGCCCCAGAAACGATCCCAGTGCCTGTTAGGGCATTGTGTTGTCACTTAATGCAAGAGTTGAAAAGAGGAGCTGCCATGCGTTGAACCATGTAGTCAAAGGTTTGAGGGCCATCACCATGCAACATGTCCAAATGGTTGCCGTCCTCACTCCCAGACCTGTACCTGTCCTGTGTTCCCTGTGTCCATCAGTGACACGAATCTGGGCATCAGAAACAATCTCCCCCCTCTCCCTCAGGTCACCCAACTAGGCCCTGTTGACTTTGCTCCCAGACATCTCCCAAATCCATCGACTTCCCTTCAGTCTTGTTTTTGGGAGCCTTTGCCAACCCGTCATCTCTGTCACCAAGCACACTACCTGGCACATGGTGGAGGTGCCATATATATATTTCTTGAATCCGTGAGTCTCTGAGTTAAAACAGTGTCAGGGGACAATAGGCAGATGACCAGACTGTGAGATTGAGCTTTTGAGGAACCTGTGTTGCAAGAGTCTGAGTGATTTCTCTGAAGATGGTGTTAGAAGCCCAAGAGAGTGGTTTTGGATCAGCACCACAATTCTAGGGGTAACCTGACCTTCTAGAACAGTGAATCTCTCTCACCCTCCTGATTTTGCCAGGGGGTTTCCTTTTCTAATTATTTCTGTCTTAAAAATTCAAAGCCAGTATATTTTCCTCACTGGGATATGTAAACTCTCATGTAAGTTGGAAAAGGGTTTGTTTCTTTACAAGTGATGAAAGATTGTGACCTCCAAGGAAGGATCCACTAGGCGTGATGAGTTTGAAGGTCTTCATGTCCTCACACATGAAGTGACTGGGATTTAGTCCAGATGTTTCCTCAAGTCACTTTCACCTCCCAACCTCTAAGAATAATATTGTTATTGCTAAAGCAAAATACCAAGAATGAGAAAACCTAGAGGAATGAAGGCAGTTGTAAAGTCTCATGAAGGGTGAGTGATTCTAAAATCAGGCTTGGGTGGAGACATTCCCTCTGCAGATCCGGGGGCTGCTTTGGGTCTGGGCAAAGCAGGAAGGAGAGTTGTGGGTGGTGGAGGCATTGGCCTTGGAAATAGACCGTTGAGAAATGTTTTCTCCCTCCTCTTTTCTCAGCAGATGGTGTGATAGTGATTGCATCTGCCAAGTCTTATCTGAGAGATTGCTGGACCAATAGTTACACAGACTATCACTTGACTCTTCTGATGCCCTCTTCCTGCCTCACTGGGGAATCTTGATGTGTCAAGAGGGTTCTGTTCTTCCTCAACCTCGTTGTCCTCCTTCTCAGGTCTAAGTCGAGGTGTTGGGTACATTTGGGGTGCTCCAGATGCATAGGGTTTGGCTAACTATCTCCAGACTTGAGAACACGTTGGGATAACTTCCATTCCAAAAGGCAAAAAAGAGAGACGGAACTTCAGTCATGTGGTTTCTGTTATCTGTAACCATGGAAAACGTTGGCCATCTGTGAGGATCCCATTTTAACACTTTTCTCTCTCTCTCTCTCTCTTTCCATCTCTTTCTCGGGGGGAAAACAAGCTGAGGAAGTGGAGAGACTCGCGGCCATGCGTTCAGACTCCCTTGTCCCAGGTACCCACACCCCTCCCATCCGGAGGAGAAGTAAGTTTGCCAACCTGGGGAGGATCTTCAAGCCTTGGAAGTGGAGAAAGAAGAAAAGTGAGAAATTCAAACACACATCTGCAGGTAAGATGATTGTTTCCCTCATTTCTCATTGGGAGTTGGTTGACTTCAACTCCGTATGTTAATTAGAATGTAATTATTGTAGACCATCTGAATCAAAGGGGGGAAACAATCAAGCCTGAGGATTGCTCCTGTGTTGAGTAAAAATCTTGGGTGCAATTGAAAATGGCTTTCAGATCCTGCGTGTTTCCTTATGTCTCAGGTTTTTTTGTTGTTGTGTTTTGATCCGCCACTTGTGTACAATCTGTAAATATCTGAGCTTAGAATTCCACCTTTTCTGGGGCGCCTGGGTGGCTCAGTCGTTAAGCGTCTGCCTTCGGCTCAGGTCATGATCCCAGGGTCCTGGGATCAAGCCCCGCGTCGGGCTCCCTGCTCGGCGGGAAGCCTGCTTCTCCCTCTCCCACTCCCCCTGCTTGTGTTCCCTCTCTCGCTGTGTCTCTCTCTGTCAAATAAATAAATAAAATCTTTAAAAAAAAAAAAAAAAAAAGAATTCCACCTTTTCTGTAATTGAATGCTTTTATTCCACCACTGACAACCCATTTCTTATTATTCAGCCCTTTTTTTCACTGCTGTGGTAAAAATCAACACACAGCAGAGAATAAGTTACATACGGTCTTTGGCAGATAAGAATAGGTTATTCCATGGAGGGAAAATCTTGAATGAACGATTGTTGGACATGGCAGGAAGACACAGGAGAATGAAAACCAAGCATCACTGTATCGGCAGGGACAACTCTATAGTTCATGGCTTTGTGGGCAGCAGAAGAATTGGAGGAAAGTCAGCCTAGCTGAGGGGTGAAGAGCCTAGACTGTGGAGTCAGTCTGTGTGGGTTCAAGCACCAGCTCTGATACTTGGTAGTTATATGACCTTGCTCAGTTTATTTATCTCTGTACTTCAGTTTTCTCATCTGTAGAATAGGGCTAAGAACAGTACTTTACATGACTTAAAATTGTGAGTTTATGTGGCATGCTATGTGGATCTATTTTAAATATGCGTTGAACCATGTAGTCAAAGGTTTGAGGGCCATCACCATGTTTATTTGAGAGAGAGGGAGAGAGAGAGCACGAGC